ATCAGCTGTGTTTGAAAGTCTAAATTCAAAATACTAAGACTGGATAATCAATTTATAATGAAGAAAATACAAGCTTTCGGAAACTCACATTTTTGAAAGTTGAGAGTAACTGACACGCTAACTGTAATGATTATTTGCATCTGAATTCTAGTTCAGTCTTGCTCTTTGATTTAGAGCTTGGAGTCCCACTCAGGCCCCCACTGTGGGGGAGGCAGTGGGAGGACTCTGCCTCCTAAACCCTAGCCTCTAAGAGAAGCTTCAAGGGACAGACACACTCGGTGACCTTGAAGGGTGTTCCCTACAATTGGGGACATGGTGGCTTGGTGCCTGGCACTTCTTGAGGAAGCTAGATCAGGTTGGGTAGCAACTAGGAGATAACCAACCCCCTTGGCCTCTTACAGAAGAACAAAGGTATGTGAGTCCTGGGAACTGCATGCGGAGCTACTGGCTGAATGTGGACCTGGGCACTTTATGAGGCAACCTGCCCAAGAGGGTCATTTGCCAAGGCCAGGAGACCCTCAGCGTAAGTACCACTGGGATAACAGGTGGGGGGAGGTCAGAAATGGCCAACGAAGAGGAATTGAGTTGGAGTAACCTAGGAGGGGAGCTTTTGAATAACCCACTGAGAGAAAAGAGTCAGCTTTGAACATCTGTTAGTACCAGAGGGTGCAAATCCAAAAACTGCTTCTCCCTTGCCTTTCCTCTACTCCCATGTCTTCCCAGTCCATACAACCCTGGAAAAGGCTGGGTGGAGGTGGGAGGGATGGAAAAAACTCACCACACCTCCTTAGCTAATAAAGAAAACAGGTGGCCCTCTGCAGTCGGCCCTAGCTGGATGTGGGAGGGGAGGTAGGGGGATGTCTCATTTATGAATGAAGATTGAAAGTTGATGAACGTAATCTCCTGGACATTCTCATTTCTGAACTATGGCTAGAACTCAAATAGGTGGTAAGATTTCAAATTACATAAGATGAGAAAAGTCATGAGACTGCCCAAGTTTTCTTCCAGAAGCTTGAGAAGGAATAGCCGCCATTGAGCAGCTTTGAAAGGACATGGGAGACAAAAGTAAAGGTGCAGTATGATAACATCTCACCAATTGTGCTATTCAATACATACACACACACACACACACACACACACACACATATATACACACACATATAATATTTTACCTAAATTTAAATTATGTGTGCAAAATATTAATATTTTTAAAGATTAGTTCTATTAAAAACATATTAAGATAGTCATTTAATTATAGATCCATTTAAAGATAAAATATAAATACTACCTTGTTATGATGTAGCCACAAGTACTTTAAATTTTTAAACCTGGAAAGATCAATGACATCTGTTAGTTCCCTGAAAAGGAAAAAGAAAGTGAATGTTAGCAATAATTAATTCATTCATGGGTAAGGCAGGATATATAGTATGACTTTGGAGTAACTGAAAAAACCTCTCTCTTGGTCCTTTCAAAACTGTTGGCACATTTACATGCTAATTTCCAGAATTCCACCATTAAAACTTCATTCATATGGATTAAGATTTTGTCAGTCAGTTAAAACAAATGCTTAAAGGAGAGCATTTTATCATGAGTAGAAAAATATACCTCATATGACTGAATTTATTGTAACCTCAATTTAATAAAAATACTTTCCTGGGGAGAGGGGAGAGGGAGAAAAATAAGTGCAGATGACACTGGACTTAATGATAGATGTGGGGGATGCTTTCACAGCATGGTCAGGATCTACTTTGGGGTTATTCGGATCTTGGCCCGACCGGGTTACCACATGGAGACTGCAGTCCACCAAGAGACTATGACTGGGTAAAGCGTTTTATTCTTGCTTTGTTATTAATATGGGGGCAAAATATTGCCCGTCCTTCATTGAACTTTGCAGGACTCTGGCTGTCAAGTGGTTCTGAGCTTTATTGCTGAAGCAGATCCCTCAGCAAAGGGACAGATACAGGGTTGGGGGCGCGGAGCTGTCAGCAAAGAGGGCAAAATCTCTGAGGATCCTTTGCCCTTTGACTGCTATGGGCTGGAGCATTCAGCTCTCTTTTATTTCTCAGGGCAGAAATTATGGGTCCCGGCTGGATGTGTATACCTATATGCGTCTATTAATATTTACCAAACATTTACAGAGCACACCCTGTGTGCCAGGCACTTTTCTAAGCACTTTAAAAATATTTATTTTAATTAATATTACCTATATTAACTCATTTGTGGCAACATCCTTTCACATTTATACTTAACCCTGGAACACTGAGGGACTAATCATTTTCCTCATTTTTATGAAAACATATATTTTGAAATAATGCCAAGATTTCTAAACAAAAGAAACCTCTCTCACCAACTTTTTATATTGAAAAAATTCAAACCTAAGGCAAGTTGAAGGAATAGTAATACAATGAATGCATGTATAGACTTATAATTTTTATTATTTTGCACTGCTTATACTCACCCTCTCTTACCTGTGTATCTATTTATTGGTTGATGATTTTCTGGGTAATCATTTGAAAATAAGTTGGGGTCTCATTATTACTCTCACTCCTAAATACTTCATCATGTAAATCCCTTAAATAAGGCCCTTCTCCTGCATAACCACAATACCATTGTCACACTTAAGAAAATTAAATTCAATTCAGTAATGTCTTCTAATAACTCTTCATATTCAAATTGTTCCTGTTGGCCCTACATTTATTTTGTAGTTTGTTTGTTTAAATCCATAATCCCATCATCATTCATGCCTTGCTTTTTCAGTTGGTATAACCCCTTAGTCTTCTTAAGTTTAGAATAGTCGCCTTCTCTTCTTTTTTTCCTTTCAGATTGTCTTTTTTTTAATTCAAATTTATTGGGGTGACAATGGTTAGTAAAATTACATAGGTTTCAAATATACAATTCTGTAACACATCATCTATATATCATATTCGTGTTCACCACCCAGAGTCAGCTCTCTTTCCATCACCATATATTTGACCCCCTTCACCCTCATCTACCACCCCTCCCCCCTCACTTACCCTCTAGTAACCACTAAACTATTGTCTGTGTCTATGAGTTTTTGTTTCTTTGTCTTGTTCCTTTGTTGCTTTTAGTTTTATATCCCACGTATCAGTGAAGTCATATGGTTCTCGACTTTTTCTGTCTGACTTAATTTGCTTAGCATAATAATCTCAAGATCCATCCATGTTGTTGCAAATGGCACTATTTCATCTTTTCTTATGGCAGAATAGTATTCCATTGCATATATATCTATATCTATATCTATATCTATATACCACATCTTCTTTATCCAATTATCTATTGAAGGCCACTGTAAAAAAAAACTGCAATGAACATCAAAGCACATATATCTTTACAGTTAAATGTTTTCAGATTTTTTGGGTATATACCCAGGAGAGGGATTGATTGCTGGGTCATATGGTAATTCCATTCTTAATGTTTGAGGAATCTCCACACTGCCTTCCATAGAGGCTGCACCAATCTGCATTCCCACAAACAGTGTATTAGGGTTCCTTTTTCTCCACAGCTTCTCCAACACTTGTTATTTTCTTGTTATATATTTGTATATTTTGTATATTTTATTTATATTATTTTTCAATTACAGTGGACATTCAATATTGTATTAGTTTCAGGGGTACAGCATGGTGGTTAAGACATTTATGTAACTTATGAAGTAATCCCCCAATAAGTCTAGTACCCATCTGGCACCNAAGACTACTAATGGACTCACCAGTTTCGTCTTGATTATAGAATCATAGTTTTCCCAAGAGCATAAGCAACCTTGGACCATGATGCAGTATTTGAAGACTGCCCTGTTTGTTGGTGTGTGAGGGAGTAAAGTGGAAAGAGATAAAGCCAGATCATGAGGGTCTTGGAGTGCTATTACAAGACTTTATGCAGATGGGTGTTATTGCCCAATTTTATTCTACAAAGAAAATGTCAGGGGAGAACATAGTTTAGAAGGTATAGTAAGTATAATATCAGGAAATGAATAAGAAGGGTGCAATGCTCATGCAGAAGAATATAGGCTGGCCCAGAGTAGAATAATGGCAATGGGAGAAAGAAAAGTGGAGGGAATTACAGTTCCAAGGTAAAATTCATGGGACATAATAGACATTGCAATGTAGCAAGTTGTTGAAGACAAGGTCTAGAGACAGGAATTAGAAAACATACTGATTGTCCTGATACGCCAGCCACTGCTAAAGTAAAATGTTATTATAATTACCCATTAAAAAAACTACACTAATGATGCTAAGGATTGCCACAGGATTTATATTTAATGTGACATTTCACAAATCATGTGTCTTGGCTCAAGGCTTGGTATATACAAGTGATTCTATTGTTGATTGGCACGTCAACAGTATTTGTGGAAACCAGTTCTGGATATAGTTTTGACCATGGCTCACATCAAAGTAAGATTTTGTATACTTGATTCTTAAGCTACCTAATATCTACCCAATGTCTTTTCAATATATTATTTTTCTGCTTAACTCAGTCAAAGCATGCTTCCATTAAGAGAACTTCCATTACCTTAACTAGCACTTATGCAAAGAAAAGTTCAACTTGGCAGAAAATATTAGGATTTTTATTGGATTGTCAGGAAAGGCATGATGCATTTTTGCAATGAAAAACAGAAAAATACTTCATCACTTTCC